CATCATCATCATAAGCATCATCATCATCATAAGCATCATCATCATCATAAGCATCATCATCATCATAAGCATCATCATCATCATAAGCATCATCATCATCATAAGCATCATCATCATCATAAGCATCATCATCATCATAAATACTCATAATAATAACAATAATAAACTTCATCATCGCAATTAATACGTCGTAATGACTTCATCGCCATCACTACTCACACTTCGACCATGGCAGGCTTGTTATCGTTAGCGTACGACTTGTTCACGTTCGTCCTGACGAGTTTTGCAATGTGCTACGTTGGCTTTCCATTCATGGTTCTACTACTACAGCCCACCCTCTTCATCTATTGGTTGCTATTCATTTGAAATCTGTTTTCTTGCTGGTTGATGAATTTTTCATTTTTAATCTATTATTTGATTGGATAAATCTTATAAATTTCGGTTAAATAGACGTAAAACAATGCTTGTTATGAACTCTTGCGACAGGAACATGCACTTCTACCTGCACATCATCGCTCTCTTCCTCCTCATCATACTACACGTCCACGAGAGGAGGTCACCCGACAACAGACATTTTGATTGATGCACTCACTCACTGACTGGGTGATTGATTGAATGAATGAATCATTGTATGAATGAATGAATGAACCAATTACATCAAAGTAAATGGTCATAATACCATTTATTATGTAAAACCGCAATATATATATATATATATATATATATATATATATATATATATATATATATATATACGTATATTCTCCACTGCAATCTAATCACTAAAAACCGGTTTTTTTTATTGTAGAAAAAGGTTGGAATGTTGCATGTGTGTCTGTCAGCCTGTGTATCGCCATCATCAAATTTGTGCACGCCACGCTCTGCATTGTATGGCGTTTCTTCATGTCTGTCTATCACCATTATCATCATCATTTTAATGTATCAGTATTATTCATTTTAAGGTTTCTCTGATATGATATATATATGAAAAGATTTGGTGTCAAACTTATATATCAAATCAAAAGCAGATTTCTTTTGAAATTAGTTACATATTCACTCGTTCCAATCAAATATTTAAGGGTATGTCATTTTTTTCCGTTTATTCAAATTTTTAATTTTTTTTTTCATTCGTTTTTATCAATTTGTTTGTTCTTTCATTCTTTTGTTTCGTTTTATGCTGACCTATTTTATAGCACATAATTTAACTGGAGCATATATAGATCATAGATTTACACAGTTTGTATATATATTCATATGTACATATATATATACATATATATGAACATATACATACATACGTATTTTAAGTTTAAATTCACTTTTAATTTTTTCTTTTTCTCGTTGATTCGTTTTTAGGTGCATTTCTTTTAAAATTGTTATTTATATATATCGGCATCTTCTCAAGCATATTTCCCTGATAATAATGTTTATGCTTTTTGTTTGTGTGTGTACGTGCGTGTTTCTTAAAAAGTTTTTGAGTGTGTTTCTTTTCTATGCATAAGTCTTAATCATTCAATTTGTTGATGCAGGTTGATCTATTGTTATTATTATTATTGTTGTTGTTGTCATTGTTTGTATTGTTATTGTTATCATTCTCTCCAACCCAATATAGAAGCCTCGTTGTTGCGTGCGTGTGTTAGTGGTGGTGGTAGTCGTCCTGCTGGCTTCACTTCTGTTTTGGTAATATTCATGTTAAAATAATGAATTTAACTTAGTAAATCAAGGATGATGGTAAACGTTGCTCCTCTGAGAAATAGGGAAGAAGAAAGAGAGAGCGAGAGAGATTTTTATTATAGTTCATCATCTTCTGACAGCATTAGATTTATTAGATATATTAGATAGTGTATTGACAATCAGCCATCAATTAAATGACATTTCATTTTTTAAATTCTTTTTCGTTTAACTTCTTTCCGTTCTTTCATTTTTATAACATTTTCAATTGAAATCTCTTTTTATTCATTTTTAGTTCTCCCATCTGTCTTCCTAACATTACGTCTTTGCGCCCCATCCCATGACAGCGTTGTTATTGTTATTATTGTTATTATTGTTGTTTTTCTTATTTTAGTTCTTATAAAATTATTAGGCTTCTCCATTTTTTGGAGTGTGTACAGAAGAATTAACATCTCTGCTCATATTACCCACAAGTCATACATACATACATACGTACGTACATACATACGTACACACACACACAATACATACATTTATACATACGTACATCTTATATAGTTTATAATTTTTAGCAATATGATAATTGATTTTATCAGTATTGTTAAGGCGCTAAATTATTGTGATTAACATTATTACACTTCTAGAACTACTACTACTACTACTAATAATAATAACAATAAAATTATTGTTATTATTATTGTTATTGTTATATTGGTGGTAAATGGTAATGCTGACTGACATGTACATTTTCTACTGACCCATAAACTGCTTGCAACAGGTAGGTAGACAGATGGATGGATGGATGAATGGATGGAGTGTATCGTTTCGTTATGTTTCGATTACGTGTTAATGTGTATCGTTACGTCGTACTGTAGTATGAATCACTAGAGAGGATGCTTAAAAAATTGATCCCATCCTATCCTTATTTAAATATTTAAATTTGAGTGCAGGTAGTAATAAGTTTGTGTGTGTGTGTGTTTTTTTGTTTATTAGTCCGTTCAATCATCCATCCATTCATTCAATCAATTATTCATCCATCCATTCATTCATTCAATCAATTATTCATCCATCCAATCATTCATTCATTTATTTATTGTTATGTTTATTTGTTTGTAAGTTGATTGTGCAGTTTTAATCTCTTCGTACTTCAATAGCACGACGATTAATAAGTTTTTCTGCATGGCGTTGTAATAAAATAATAATATAATTATAATAATTATTATTAATTATTGTTATTATTATAATAAATTATTACTATTTTATGTTTTATAGAATATTTATGAAATAAAATAACGGGTATTACTTGTGTACTGTTGTTTCAAATGAACTGATCAAAAGTTAAATGATACAGTATCTATTTAGTCTGTCATTCGTTCGTTAATTCGTTCGTTCATTCATTCAAGCTTTCATTCATCTGTCCATCCATCGAACACATGACAGCCAATAGGAGAGCACTTGAGCACGCCTACGCATAAGATGGCAGATGGGGAGGAGGCGAAAAGAAAGTTGCTGGAAGGATCAAACGACATTTTTTTATGTTACCAGCAGAAAGAAAGAAAGAGAGAGAAGAAAAAGAGGGAATGGAGTAGGATAAGTAGAGAGAGAGAGAATGAAAAATTGAACAGAAAAAAGAGTAGGCATTGGCTGAAATGAAGGAGAAATTAATGTCAGAGAAAATATGAAGAAGAAATAAGTGAGATAGAGAGAGGGGGGGGGGGAGGGAGAAAAAGAGAGATGGAGAGAGTTATGCAGACATACAGGAAGACAAACAGGATATCGATGATGATCATAACTGGACAAAATTTACATGCGGAACTGTCTGCTTACATGCCAACACACAGCTCAAACACACACATCCACGCATACGTACTTCACTTATAACCCCCACAGGCCCACATACATGTATGTGTGTATGTATGTGTTTGTATATGTGTGTGTGTGTTTATGTGTGTATTTTTGTGTGTGTGTGTGTGTTTTCACACTTTCATTTCGACTTTTAAGGTTCACTAATAACAATAACTGACCATTAGGTACAAAAAACTTGTGATATTGAAGGATTGAAAGAATGAGATAATGAATGAGAATGAGTAGTTGAATAAATGAACGAATGAATGAAAGAATGAATTAATAAAAGAATAAGAGTGGAGGAATGAAAGAATGAATTAGTGAAGAAGTGAAAGATTGATTGTTTGGAACTTAACCAATTTGAGACGAATAAGTGCGCACGCATAAAAGCCCTTGAGGCAACAAGAACGAAAAAAATTCTTAAAAAAATTTCATTATCTTTTTAATAATAATAATTATTATTATTATAGAAAGTAAAGTTATTAAATGTTATGAAGCACCTGTTGTTGGATGCAACTTACATTAACACGAGCCCTCGGTGCACTAGAACGTCATTGCTTTCTTAATTAATAATAATAATAATATTTCGATTATTATTTTTTTATTATTTAATTATTATATTATTATTCTTATTATGTACACGTCTGCTTATATTTCTATACATGCATAGAAATGTGAACGCAGTATATTATTTACAATGCATATTTGTCCAGTATTATTTACATAGAGGATATTTTTTTTTCTCCTACTACTTGAAAAATATTTAGTCCGACTTGACCGAAAAAAAATGAAAGAAAGAACGAATGGAAGAAGGAGTAAGTGGAGGAATGAAAAAATAAATGAACGAATGAACACACGATTGGACGAACGAACGAACGAATGAACTTTAAAGTGTTTGAACATGAAGGCTCCTGCATTTCGTACAACATCATCGACATCAACAAACAAATCCAGACACGTTCTTTGCATATCTAAGTGTTTCCATCCGTCCGTCCGTCCATCCATCCATCCACCTATCTATCTATCCATCTATCCATCCATCTATTCATCCAACTATCCATACATCCAATAGGAAATCACTAACCAACCAAACTAACTTCCATGTCATCAATATAAAATGATATCCTCTATCAGTTCAAAAAATTCTTCCAGTAAATTCTTCTGCAGTCTTCCATTCTTTTACGCCTTATCTTTTCTCTCTATCCTATTTTTCAACCAATGATAACTGTTATTATTATTTAAATACATTAAACATTTTAATATGCAATGTAACTAAATAAAAATTAACTAATTCATCAAATTATATCATATAAATATTCAAATATATATGTATGTATGATCATCGACATCATTGTCGTCCTCATCATCAAAATGTTTATATATATATATATATATATATAAACAACGTTATTGTATATATATATATAAAATTGTTATATGTGTTTATATAATGCCGTTAATATATATATATATATATATATATATATATATATATATATACACACATAACGTAAATGTTTATATATATATATATATATATATAAGTGAAACATGAACATATATATGAAACAGTATAAATAGAAGAAAGATAGAATAAAACGAATGAGAATCTCGCATAGAGGAGTTCATTACAAACGGCTTTTTCGTTATATCAAAGTTTTAAAATTTATTTGTAATTCTTCCATTCGTTCATTCAGTCGTTCGTTCATAGATTTTTTAAAGAAAGGAAGAAAGAAGAAGAGATAGAGAAAGAGAGAGTAAGAGATAGTGATAGAAAAAATAGATATATGTATGTATGTATTGTATGCAGGTTTGTGTGTATGTATGTATGTGTATGCCTGTGTGTGTGTATCTAGGTATGTATGTATGTGTGTGTGTGTATATGTATACGTGTATGTGTGCATTTTTGTTTTGATGATGATGATGTTGTTGATGATGATGCTGATGTTGTTGGTGATGATGACAACAACTTTTTTGTGGTGCTTGTTTGTTTAGTAAAAAAAACTAATAAACAACAACAGTTTCAAATCAGAGAAAGGAAAAATGAAACCAACATCAGCATCATCATCTGCATCATCATCATCATCACATCCTATGATCATTACCATGATTACAATCCTTTTTTTCAGTTCAGTAGTTTTCGTAGTCGCCGCAAGTTCAGGTAGGTACATGTATGTGTGTTTGTATGTATGTATGTGTGTTTGTATGTATGTGCATGCATGTGTTTGTACGCGTGTACGTGTGTGTGTGTTCACGACCACCGGATATTTGAAATTTAATTTAATATTTTATTTTTCTCACTTCCTCTCACTATTTCTATAATATATACATACATATATATATTTATTTATTGTTATTGCTATTATTACGATCGTTGTAACAATTATTATCATTATTATTATAATTTTTCTATCGATAACATTAATGACGTATGATCTCATAACGATCTTCATCATCATCGTCGTCGTATTGCTCGATGGTCATTATGAAAATCATTACTCTGTATTACGGTCTATTAAGTTCTTATTCATTTTTCATTCTTTTCTCTCTATCACCATCACAATCATCATCGTCGCAATCATCATCATCGTCACCAGATGATAGACAGATTGTCAAACACCCAAATTCATTCCTTCGCCGTGCCAACAATTACGGCGAGAACCTCATCGATGGCGACTACGATGACGTCATCAACGGTGTCGGTGATGATGACGAAATGATGGGGTCGTCATCGTCACGTCTCTACCGTCAGATGAGAAACCGCGGTTTGTTTCTTCTCAAGAGAGCACCAACTTTTCGAATGGGTGATTATTATTATCATCATTATTCCTTTATTCTTATTATTACTAATGACATCACCATCATCATCATTCTACAAAATAGATACTCCGCCCAACGCAAAACATTTGCTTATCTGCTTACGCTTGTTCGTGTAGATAAAGAACATTTACCCAAACATACACACTCACACATAAGACCCTTCAGCTTTCAAAATTCATTGAGGAGCGCGGAAAGAGCGCTTTATAAACTAATTGATTAATTGAGTGATTGATAAATATATATTAGAAAAAATATTGGAAACAAATTTCAATTCCCGCTCAACTCTAATACATACACACACATATATACATACATATACACATACATATATACATACATATAAACATACATATATACATACATACACACAACTCTAATCAATTATGGGTTCATACATACACACATACAAACATAGATACGCATAGACACACACATGAATACACAAAAAACGCATCTTTAAACATTATGCAATATGTTATCTTATCGCACTAAAATAGAGATATCACAATAATATATGGTATATACAAGGTATGTGTGTGTATGTACATGTGTGTGTATGGGTCAGTAAATAAATGAATGATTGAGTTAATGAAAGATTTAGTTAAAAAATCCTTCATTGAATTTATAAGACTATGTAAAAATAAAAATTATGTTGGTTTAGTAGTTGGGTTTCTATTCTAGTCCATCTATCCATCCATTTATATATCCAACTATTCATTCATTTATTCATTCATCCATCCGTCCGTCCGTGAAAAATTAATGTGTTATCGATGGGGATGGTTATCGAGTTTTCGGTTTATTTAACGGTTCGAATATCGGTGCTTTTCAATTTTCAACGACGCATCCCTATTTTAAAACTCATTTCTCCGTTCATATAATCATTCATTTGTTCATTCATTCGTTCATGTCGCAGGTAAGAGAAGTTCCAAAGAACGCAGATGAAGAAACTGAGTAGCAACAGGGATCGACTTAACAACAATAAGGAAAAAATTCTAACAATGATATAACTTTTATAATAAATTATTAACTATAATAATTAAAATATTATTAAAAATAATAATTACTTTTAGATATAATAATAACAATGAAACAACGTTGTTTGCTTGAAATTTAATCTAAAAAAATAACGGTTACACACACACATACAGAGAGAGAGAGAGAGACACGCTTTACGATAAATTTAGCTTCCTATATTAAAACTTCCAGAAAAACACAAAAAAATGAAATAAAAACTGACTTTAACAAAAATAAATAACAACAACAACCACAATAACAATGTTTCACTGAATAAATAACAACCACAATAACTGATAGTTTCACTGATAGTAGTTAGTAATATAATAGGAGAGCTATCTTTTACTTTTAAAAACATAAAGATGATAATGACAGAGAGATAAACATAGAGAAAAAGTGAGACAAAGAGTGATATAAGTATATATATATATATATATATAGAGAGAGAGAGAGAGAGAGTATTATTTCAATTTACTCTCAATTTATTAATTTATATATATATATAAATATATAGATAGATAGAGTATTATTTCAATGGCAGATAAATTTTTTCCACGTGTTTGACGATAAGTAGACGGGAAAACATGACAAGTGGCGGACATATGCAACCATTGTTTGTATTGTCTTTTGCATCTTTGTATCTCTGTGTGTACGTTTGTATACGTGTGTATGTACACACATATATAAATATATATATGTCTGTATGTATATAAGTATATTTTGAGACCAAAAACAATTCGTATTCGTATGTATGCGTGAATGTATGTATGTATGTTTGCACGAATTATATTCAGATTTTATATTATTTTTGAAAAATTATTTTAGCGATATCCCTACCTACCTACCAACCAACCAACCTACCAACCAACCTATCTACCTACCAACCTACCTACCAACCAACCTATCTACCTACCAACCTACCCACCGCCTCGTTCAGAGAGGGCCTGTCGTACGAAGAACGAACGGAAAAGTTC